TAAACAACGCTTGCAGCTGATACAAATTCGTCTGTCAGTACGGCATCGAACTCGTTTAAAGAAATAAGGCAGTGCGCCCAGACTCGTCAGTTGAATATAGTGATAATGATAAAGAACTGAGATTTTGTCCATAGCGGAATTCAAACCAACGAACAAGCTATTGTTATATTAGAAGGCTACTACGGTACTGGCCCTTTGCATAAGCTACCCGAATTTTTAACTATCGCATTTCCTCGACCTTAAAACACCGTCGATTATAAGACGCACTCTTGCTTTAACAATAGGTACGCTGTATCGATCTTAGACGCCATATAAATATTAAAACGCGCCTCGATTTAAGACAATTTAAAGTGACTCGTTTTTAAATAAAGCGCGTATTAAAATCGATTAAATAAGATATTTCAACGATGAGATTTTATAAAGCAAGGTATTTTTCTCTGTTTCATATTTTAACGGTTACTTTAAATTGTCGAAAAACAATTATAACTGCTCAGAAACGGCAAAAAAGGTTTCTTACAATGATTCTGTAACACACCAAACAAAACTCAAACCAAAAGCGAGAATACCACTCCCACCGCGAGGAGAAGGTCAGATAATAATCAAATAGGCTTAGTGCTTTGAAGGTACTAAACTGGATGTACGTCCGATTTCTGAAATGGTTCTTCAGTTAACATAAAATGTTTTACGAACGTCCACTGGGATACGAAGAACATAACAAGCACACTACAAAAGCAGAGGATTCAAATCGCGAAATACGGAACACACTATTCAGATTAATCCACATGCAAAGGGGAAGAAATTTTTATTACAGATCCCACGTAACTTTCCAGCATGTCCACTTCATATAAACACACACATTGACCTAGCTGAAAGCATTGGTATTCGATAGACATCGATATTTTGATGGCGTCCACATCGACCGGGAGGAATTGAGAGGGTGGCAATAGACAAGATGGTCCCTCGTCGGCAACCTCATGCCTCGACCTGACCCCTGTCTCTTCCAGCCAACTTCCTCTCTCGAAAGTCAGAGCAATAATTCACCAGCGTGCAGGAATGACTTTAGACCTCTCTTACTTCCACCCTTACTTTTTTGATAGCTTTGTTTGTCATCTATGGAATTTCAAAGGAAAGTATAATTCTTTTCTTTTCTCTTTTATGTCATACTCCAGCTATACGGGTTCGAATACTAGAGCTTTGTGGACAGACGCAAAAGAATACCAGGTAGTATAACAACAGACTGTTGACAGAAGTTTCTGTTGTGATTTGAAACTTACCAACCAAAGTCTGTGACTCATAGTCTCGTACAGCTAAAGAAGGCTACTTTCCGTGTAGTATATTACAAGTTTACCGACGTTTCAGACGTGTTTTCTTCCTCCATAAACAGGGCGATCAGGGCCTTTAATAGACAATTAGACGCTTGGTGCTCTCAGTAACCGCTAAGGTCAATTGTACCCGGTTAATCGAACATCCATGTTCCATTCAATTCACGGAAAACTCTATTTGCATTAAGAATACTATAGAAATCTATGTTTTATTCAGTTTCCGTCTGCAAATTATAAAAGATAACACGTAACCCTCTAATACCGAAGCGTATCTATATAATATTTACAGATTTAGATCCTAGGCATATAAAACAATATTTCTCCATTACAAAGAGACATCCCTTAATGTCGTCTACGAAAATTATTGAGGCTTATTCTAAGAATCACATGAAACTCGTAAATGCAAAATGTGGAAATAATTCAGACGAAACTGTGGGCATGCGCAGAAGGAAATGAGCCATGTTCAGCTAACAAGGTTAAGCTTTATTTTAATTTGGAGTTATTGGATTAGGTTGGATTGAGTTAGGTAAGATTAGATATGCACATGCGGAAAATTACGTCAGCGCATGCGCAACAGGCAGTTGGCAAAATTAGGCTTCTAACGGACAGATTACGTTGAATTTGGTTACGTTGGCCTACTTTAGGTTACGTAAGTTGAGGTTAGTTACGCACATGCGCAAGCGACAGTGTGCGCATGAGCAGATGCAAACGCAACCTCCCGTCAGTTCTCCTATACTAATTTAATGCTCATTTTTGTTCTACTAATCACTTATTACGCACAATTGCTTAAGCTTTGCTTGTCACAGGAATTTATAAACCAGAGTATAGAAAAAATAAAACATACATTTATTTAAGCCTATTATATTTATATTTTCATACTATGAAGTATAAAAACATGTCTGTCTATTCTTTCCACCTTCTTATATTAAGAGGATCCCGAGTTACGTAAACTATTCCATTAGGTACAAAAAACATTTCCAGATGCGGAAAATTTTGCGATTATACAATACCTGTTCCATATCCTTCCTCTTCTACAGATGAAGCTCTTTGTCGTCCAACGCCAGAATGTCGCTTTGAGTGAAACATATTAGCACCAGAATTAAAATGTAAATGAAATGTTGTTGTAAATGTTAATTCGCTATGCTTATAACGACATTTTTCCGTGCTTTCATGTTTTTTTTAACAAAGCAAAAACGTGCACAATCACGCATACGTTAGTATATTACAGTAACAATTTCGACTTGCGCAAAATTCGGGTTACTCAAGATCACCCAAAACGGAATGACTGCGTAAGTCGTGGAGCGTCTGTAATTAAATAAATTTAATCGGAAAAGGTATTAAACATTCGCGTCATGGTCTAACCAAAATGTATGTGACAGTTCTCTGTAGCGAAATTAACAGTTTAACTGTAATATTTTGTTTGCCTGCACGTATTTCAACTTTAGTTTTTTTGTTGTGAGCTTTCAAAGGAAAATGCAGTAGCCACTGAAACACGTGCATCATTCTGGTGTTTATTTACAAAATATGTGCCTGTATAATTGAATTACAAGGATGCGCTTTGAAAATGACGAATCTCAAAATCTGCGGTTTCCACTCACTTCAGTAGCATATTATGACTAGTGTAAAATGAGAGGGCGATGAGAATGGCGGATGCTGGACATAGTTTTCAAACAGCAGGTCACAACGAGCAGAAACAGTAGCGATTTTACAAATCAGTGTCGATAATAAATAAACCCGATATCTACTTTTTTCCCCAAAGTTATTCCAAAGGGGTGTCAGTATTTCAAACTTAAACAATTATTAAATGCGGAAAGGAACAAATCAATCTATTCATAAATAACAGTATATTGTTTATTTTAATTGTTATTTTGATATGATTTCCATTTGTAACTATTTAATCGTGGTTTCAACGGAGCAACCAATGTGTCCATGTTATTTTACGACTGGCAGTTACTCCGGCTTAATGACAAACCACCATTATAATAGTTCCCACACATATTTCAAGTCAGGAGTCTTAGTCGCCATGATGCGTTTTGTTAATTAGTAGACTAGTTATAATTAAATTCTTTGTTTCAACGTGCTAACTCAACGGCTTCATGAGCCGAATACATTTAGCACAAGAAGATAAAATAAACTTCAGAAAGAGAAAACGTTAAAAAATAAGCAAAACAAGACTAAGCTGAATGATCGTTCACATAATACGTAAATCTAAACAATTCCTCGTATCGAAAAGGTGTACTCGAAGGAGACAATGTTTTTGTCAAAAATGTGCAAAAACCTACATACCGTTCACAGAAAAATGTTACAATGCACTGATTATGCTGAAAGTATAAAATATTCTTATTTACTTTCATTCTTTACACCTGAAGACGAAGACAGATCCACTCTTCCATAAGTTAATAGCAGACGATGACCAAAATCCAAAAACTCGATAGTCCAAATAACTTTAACGTCATTTAATTACAATGCAGTGTGAATTATAAAGACACGGCGTATTCTAGAGGAAATTCAATACCTAAATCAGAGAAGCACGTAACATGATACAAAGTATGCTTTTCGTTTTGCGGGTTAAGTATTTAAAGCTTACGAGGTTCAAGCTCCTAGAAAGCAATATATATTTACTGTAGACCCGCACTCAGAAAAGAAAAACGGGTAAAGATTTGATAAAAATGTGAGTTTTTCGCTTAGTCGACTTGTGCTATGGGACAAAATCCTCTGATATTCTCAGAAGCACAAGCAAAAGGACAGACACGAGGATAAGACACTCTAGCGGAGCGGGAGGTTAAGTCTGCGGGTTATCTCAGATCCACGGCAGAGTGTAAGAACGTTCTTTCAAGACAAAGCCTCCTGAAAGTCAATGATGATGCGATCCACATCAGGCTCTCTTGATATCAAGCCGACACACTCCCTACAGTCTGCACACCATCGCGTAGACTACAACGAGTATCTAAACACACGCATTTTCATGCATACATACATGCAGACCTGCATCCATACTCTTATATGCACACGCATACATATATCAGAATCACGTATGTATACGTAGGCCTAAATACACGTAAACGTTATTCCAGCACCTGAGACAGATAAGACCTATCTATCCTTGAAAATTGCCGTCTTCTGGGTTGTTGCGCTGTGTAGTCTGGTAGATGTTTACCAACGTTTCAGAGGTCATGCTGCCTCCGTCATCAGGGCGATTATGACGGAGGAAGTATGACCTCTGAAACGTTGGTAAACATCTACCAGACTACACAGCGCAACAACCCAGAAGACGGCAATCTTCAGACTCACCGCCGTGAAAACCTCAAATCCTTCCTTCAACGGTCGTCCATACTTTCATGTTTCTCCCTGTTCTTAATTTTACCTTTAATTTGAGGACCTAAGACCCATAACAACAAATTGCTTTTACAACGGCCCTTCTAATGAAAATGATAGCCACGCCATTCGCAGATTTATAAAAAGCAAATATTCACAATAACCTGACTATTTTAGTCGTTCAATTATTATGGTTTACATTAAGGTTAGTTAACTCAAAACCAAAACTGAATTACAAATGACAGTGATTCATTAGCTTGGAATACGTAAAGCGTAACTGCAAATTCTGTCCATCTTCAGATTCAGAGACAATATTATAAATTGTTCCGTTACGAAACAAACTTATATGGTAAATAAACTTACCAACTGCTATCATCTTTGTGCTGCTTGTCACTGTTAGGGGCAGAAGACCTGGGCTTCTTCATGTTCCCTGCAGACACAGAAGACGAATGTCAGTGACTATACCGTAAAAACGTGAACAAATGTACGACAGAGTAGTTCGAGGCTTTAACGTCCTCTTGGTTCTCAATAACCGCAGTTATTTAGATGAGTCGAGCGAACGCGGCATCTTCGCGCGCCACCGCTCCAGAAGCTTGGCAGGTTTCCACGGCCGTTTACCCTCAATAAAACGCAGCGTTACAGCGTCAAATGGCGCTGTTGATGTATGTGTTCCTTACCACTGGTTAAGCTGCAAGGTAAACTGCAGACCGCAACACATCCACGTTACCGTAAAACACACTACCGGGCTTTCAAAGTAGGCATTCAAACAAACACACAGCCTTCTTCGTTACGGTACATTTTCGGAGTCAAATCTAGAGACCAGAACTTTACTTGTGTATTTTTCTTCGTTTATATGCCTCTATATTTTCTTACTTCAATATTTATCTCCTTATTAATTTATAAAATTACGTATCAATTTTTCCGCGTACAATATATTTATTTACATAGTTATAATTTATACAAATAAATTGACGTTGAGGTGTGACCAGTTTATTACGTTCAAGATCTCAGAATTCCACCCGTACTATGTTTCGTATTACTGAAACTGCTTTATTTTCAAAGAGCCAAATTTGGCACTGTACACAGAGCGCAAAGTGGCCTAAATGAAAAGCTCCAACAAACCTTACCCTGCAAGCGATACGTTGCATCACACTTTTGATTTGGATTCTCAGTAGCCCATGACTTCCCCCTCAGTCGATAAGGAAAATGCCATTGTATCAACTTTCATCTATCCTGTATACGTTGTCCAAATATGATTTCAAACTTAAAATTTATATATATATATCCTTTAATTCGTTGAGACAATAACTTGAAATAGGTCGCTACATCCATCACTGCCAATCAACCTGCCACTTGATGCCAAGAAAATGATGTAATTGAGAAAGCGTCATTATATTACCAAAAATAATTTAGTAGATTCATCATCAAATGAAAAAAATTTCGATTTCAGGAAAAAATATCGATTCTTACAGACATCAAATTTAAGACGCGCGATTTCAGAAATCATAATGTGTGAAAAAGTGCATCTTAAAATCTGGGATATACGGCATTATTTTAGTTATGAAAGCAATTTCACATTACGAAATAAGGTACGTACGTATTAACGGAATAATAAGACATTAAATGAATCATGAACGTTTACATAATTTAATTAAATTTTGCAAGATTTGAGGTTTTCGCAACGGTGAGTATGAAGAGTTCTGTCTTCTGGTTTGTTGCGTTGTGTAGTCTGGTCGATGTTAACCAACGTTTCAGAGGTCATACTGCCTCCGTCATCAGGCTACACCATTCACATTCCGGCACCTATAAACCTAGCCCCACACACCCTATTGGCTTATTCATCGCCCTGATGACGGAGGCAGCAAGAACCTCTGAAACGTCTGTAAAATTCACCAGACTACATAGCGCAACAACTCAGAAGACAGAAATCTTCTTAAATAAACTTATCTTCGCCACAAAATTTTTCTAGGTTAACAAACCTAATCAGTATTTAAACACGTAACAATGCTTTCTGATACGCAATGGCAGCTGCTCCCGGAATCGGTATTCAGGTATTACAAATCTAGTGGGCACATTAGAAGTTTCTTCTTATTGTACTGATAGCCAATGTCATTCCCACTTCTTATCTAATATCCTCATTACGTTTATGATGTCATTCTGTATCCTGCGGTCACTCTGAGGTAACGAGATTCTGCCATCTCCATTCTTGTAATTTCTCTTCTCATTAAATTCCAACATTCGGATCCATATTAAAACACAGATACGATTATTCTCTTAAAGGTTTTATTCAGGCTTCCTTAAGGAATGCTCCTACTATAGTTCCCACAGTTCCAACAATTACTGAAATCGGTTCAGATTTATAGTTTTTGTTACAAGTTTCCATCATAACAGCCAAAGTACGGCACAAATACACTTGACTCTCGTCATGTACGGTTATAACATCATTCATTACATAAAACGTACAATATTCGTCATTTTTATGTTAAACTGGCATTAAAATCCTTTCTTGTTAAGCGTATCATCTGCATTTCCTCATACTGGAGAAAGTCCAACGTAACTAATAGGCTTTATAGTTCAGCCGCAAATAGAATATTCACTTTCCAAATAATACTGAAATAAAACGGAAGAAACGCGGATAACAAATGCGCGTAAACTGGGATCACATTTTAAATTGAAATACCGTTATTATTTAAAAACTTTACCATCTAAAGCATGCATTGCTGTTTCACGGAAAATATAAGTTAAAAGCAGGATTCAGTTAGATCATGCTCGTCTAACACAAATGGCTCGCGGACGTTAGGTTTGCAGGACTGTCAAAATATCACTTACAGGGTTATAATCATCTGTAACAGTATGGAAGTGGCAGGTGGCAGTCCCCTTGGGGTGTCAGCGTCACATAATCGGATATGATCCATTAGCATATAAATCATAGCGTCATATCCGCCCCCATTGCTTCCAAACCAATTAATTGTAGGCCTATACATGAATCCAATTACCAATTTCAATTTCAGCAGTACATCATTTATTCATGTATATTAGCAATGTTTGTACTAAAAACATCAATAATGCACGTGTTCTTCAAAATATACGCCATGTTTCAACACTAACGATTCATAAGTCTTTGGTAGTTTGAGGTTTTCACGGCGGTAAGTACGAAGATGGCTGTCTTCTGGGCTGTAGCGCCGTCTGTCTTACCGTCCTGACGATGGAAGCATCAAGGACCTCTGAAACGAAGGTAAACTTCTACCAGATTACAAGGCGCTACAAACCAGAAGACATCCACTTCTTTGTAATCCATTGATTTTAGGTTGTTACAAGTCTTTCATGACACAGACGGTGTGACGGCAGAGTTGAACACTCTCGTACAACAGTCTCTCGTAAATTTCAAGACACTTCAATTTCAGAGCTATATCTCAAGAGGGTCGTAACTCGTGGGAAGCAGTTAATTTCCATTAAGACCATTCGACCGATTGATGGACTGAAAGGGAAAGTCCTTGCTCTATAAATTAAGACTTACTGTACACGCTTACCGAGTTCTTGGTGACTTACACATTCTACCGATAAGTACTTAAACTTCGTTCTGATTTGCAAGAACTTTCCTCTTTATTCTCCGCCTGCCTTATATATGTTTCTTAGAGGGTGCACCAAAAACACTTACGTTTAGCCTGTCGTAGGAAAAAAGATATACAAATCCCACTTCTATTTTTCTGCAGAATATTAGTGACATTTGCCTTTGTTCAGGACGTTTCCACACTTGTGGGTTGCCTTTTCTAAGTGCTAATTCTTGCATTTTATCTACCATCTTCCAGCCAAGACCTCTCTTCTCTACAGCTCCCATACCTTGGTCCGTCCATCGTGTGCATGGTGTGCCCCTAGATCTTCCTCCACGCACCTTCGTTTCCAACGAAATTATTCTTACTCTATGCTTACACATTCTCCTATCATGCACAAACGAGTGGCCTATTACCTTGACTACTATTTGACGACGACGACGAAAAATGAAAAATTATCGGATGCATATCTGAGCTTACGTCTGCCAGCGATGCTTTTCTTGAGAAATGGTGAACCGAGCGCCTAACCGGAATAAAGACATTGTACTCGGAGAACTTCTTACCCCCCTCCCCCCTCTCATCTTCTCCCTGTGACGTCAGGGAGTGTGGAGATGCGGTAGCAGACGCTGTCCGAAGAAAATTTAATTATTATGGCATTAAATCTTGGCTCCAGAAGGTAAACCGGGATAACATAAGACGTGTCTCTCCTGAAATTGAGATTCCGAACAAATTCTTGTTAGTTCCATATTTATGCTGACGTAATTACATTCTCTAACAACCACAGACGATATTGCACTTTAACATAGATCATATCACGCTGATTAACAATTACTGGTTGCGTGTCTCCCATTCGGTCATATAAGTTCTTCTCTTTCATTAGATTCACAAATTGCAGTGGTGCCACAACATTCATTCTACTTGTATTACATTATCTTTTAATTGTAATAGACACGTAATTTTATCCGAACCAGTACATTCCACCTACATGCTGCAACAAAAACAAAAACATTCGATGCAATGGTTTGTATTTGTTTATTTGCTAGTATTTTATATGACGACGCTG